TTTCACAATGTACTAATGTCTAAACAGAACAGTGTTTCCATAACCGATGGTGATATTGTTTTAGCAGGTTCGAGAAATATTTTATGTTTACATTAATATTGGACATCCTCTATATTGTGATGCCGTTACGTGCCCGTAATTGGGAACAAATCCCGAATGCAATCCTCTTCAACGGCAAAAAAAAAACCCCACTATATTTATTGTTAAATACACATGCTGTCTGTATACTGAACTTGTTTCATCATTATCTATCCAAATGTCCATGCACTTACTTCACGCGTGTGCAGTTTTTTTCTGTCGTGGTTTGTTGGTTTTTAACTGCAACAAAATTCAGTTTTGATGGAAACGTTTTTCGCATTGTTCTCATATTCGAATATGCATTAGATTGTTGTTTTATCACTGTTATATTTAGTTTGAATGAGTGAGTGAATGAGTTGAAATTTTACGTCACATCGCCAATATTTCAGCCATATCGTGACGACAAAAAGTTATGTACTAAGAATAAATATATTTATACATTTATAAAAACCTGTCAGCGAAGGACAGTATAACGACTATGAGCAACATACATTGAATGATGTGGTCTTAAGTACCCTCTTCGAAGGACAAATATTTTACGCTACTTCAACCCCCTCCGACGGTACAGCCACTAACAACCATACTAACGTATTCATTCGACTGAATTTAAAAAGAACACATTAATTACAGTACATAATCAGAATTTATTAAGCAAATCAGGTTTCTTTATAAAACAAGAATTAAATGAGGACTTTAACGATGAAACTGTGAAATATCGATCCCTTGTGATGGACAAAATATTTAGTTTGAATCCGAATATAAGATACTGTGTGTATCTAACGATGCCACTCATTACTTTTGGACATCTTTTGAATTAACTATTGGTGTCTGCATTATGACTTGTTACAACCTCACCCCACACCACTACACACTGATCACCCCCTGGGCAATTTTCAAAACGTGATATTGCCAAAGCCTAACCACAAGTAAACAAATTGAGAAGTCAGATGACGTATAACTACGGGGTTTTGTAATTCAAATAAAAATACTAATCATCAAATTTCTGGCGACATCTGTTTTCGAGGCAATTTAGCTCGAGAATTTGTTATTTCTAGAAACACAGTCATTGGTGTACTTTGATGAGACGCTGATACTGAAACCAATATATTTCTTATCGGATAACAAAATATATCAGTCATATTGTCTGCTCGTTATAGGTCCAATATCTTTATAAATGTTCACAAACAGGTAAGTGCAAATGAATTAACTGTAATGTTCTTTTACTAGAACCGTCATTTACAATGAGAATGAGTTTGTCTACGATGTGCGATATTGTCATGTTACCCTACATTAAGGTAATGTCAGTCGCCGCTGACTGATCCTTACTTTTATGGCGTGTTATGTCTGGCTACCTGTGATAATATAGTCTAAACCTCTGCCTGTGAACATACTGAATACACCTTATGGCTTTGTAAGACGACACAAGCATGGGCGGTGTTATATTCGGTGGGTTTGCTGAACATGAAATTAAAATCTAACAACTCCTCATACATACATTTGTATTTGTGATTATACATTAAGAAAATGTTTTACTGCGTTGTCCTTATTATTTAGATGGTCAATACAGACATAGGTTCGGGCGGCAAATACCATTCAGCAGCTAACTTTCAGCATTATACCAGAAAAGAAAAATAAATTCATCAAACAAATAATTTTTTTTAGAAATAATGAAAATCACTTTTACAGACTACATAAAACGAACGGTGATGGTGAGCATAAGCGGCCTCCCATGGATGCCAATGAAAGGTTCTGGAAACAGTTGTGGTCTGTACCCGGCGACTGTAACCGGAGGCACCATGGGTCCGAGATTATGACCATTCAATGCATGAGAAAGCAATTAGGTCGTTTGTCTGTTACATCTCACCAGATTGCCTGAAAAGTGTTATCAAAAAGTCCAAATCTAATACAGCTCCAGGGCCTGATGGCATTCGAAACCGGTATTGGAAACTGTTCCCCTGTGTCCAAACACCATTACTTCACTGTTTCAATTCTCTTGTGGACACAGGTGATGTTCCTCCATGGTCGCATAATTCTCCTTCCCAAAAAAGGAGACTTGACTGATCCCGAAAACTTCCGCCCTATCACATGTTTGAATACCGAGTATAAAATCTTCACAGGGTGTCTGACAAACCTTGTGTCATCATACTGTTCTTCCAATGATATAATTTATAGAGAGCAGAAGGGAAGCGAGAAAGGAATGTTGGGTGTGCAAGGATCAACTTCTTGTACAGAAAATGATTTTGGAAGAGGCTAAAACATATCACCGCAACCTCTCTATGTGCTGTATTGACTACAAGAAAGAATACGACTCTTTCCCTCATGAATGGATTCTGAAGTCTTTTCATTGTATTGACTTCCCGGAGCGACTACTTGATTTACTCAAGTATTTAATGAGTTGCTGGTCGACTCAACTTGAGATGTACTCGCAAGGGCAGGTGCAGACTTCGGAATCTATTCCAATCAGAAGGGGAATTTTCCAGGGGGACTCCTTCAGTCCTTTGCTTTTTTGTTTGTCTCTAAATCCTTTGAGCTTTCTGCTCAACAGAGAGGAGGGTTACCATTCCGGACCTCCTCAACACAGATCACCAACACCGCTTACTCATCTCCTTTACATGGATGACATCGAGCTCCTTGCCAAAGATTCTCCTTGTCGAGTCCTTTCTAATGATATTGGCATGACTTTTAGACTCGACAAATTTAATACTCTTCATTTCAAACGTGACATGAGTTAATGGTGGATCAATCGAGTTACATGGGGGAGGAGATGTTGAGCATCTTGTGGAAGATCAGGCCTACACCTATATTGGAATGCAAGTTCGAGACAAGCTCCAGAATGCCCAGATTAAAGAGAAACTTCGGGCCGAGTATAAATCTCGCTTAAAGAAAATCTGGAGCTCAGAGCTAAATGTTCGATACAAGGTCAAAGCCACCAATACTTTGGCTGTGCCAGTCATTTCCTGTTCCTTTGGAGTGGTTGATTGGACAAGACATGACCGCCTGAACAGAAGGATCATGTCTGATAACAGAACCCACCACCCTCGTTCCTCTCTTAATCTTTTATATATGCCAATCAGATCGGGAGGTCGGGGTCTCATTAATGTGGAGGCTCTTCATTATAGATTTTATTGTGTACTTTTGCTCATATTTATTTATTGAATGATCCTCTGGTGATGCATGTCAAGACTCATGATGAAAGCAAGGAATTCCACAGCTATTTTAAGTGTGCCAAGGTTGTTGGACAGAATCTGAATTTGAGGTTGATTTTGTTGATGGCAATGTACTGCTGGACGGTACAGCGATTGGAGTAAACCAGGTGAAGTCCTTCACCAAGTTTGCCCAGAGTCGGTCATTTGTGGAGAAGCTTTCTGAGAAGCCATTGCATTGTGTGTACATGCAGTGGGTGGAACAGAATAGCATTCCAACCGACTCCTTCCCCTGGATGAAGTCGGCTGGTCTCAAATGTGAAACTGAGCGCTTCCTTTTTGCTCCTCAGGACGAGTCACTTCCCACTCGCAATCGCCTAAATGTGATTCTAAAAGAAAATATTTCCATGAAATGTCTATTATGCAATGAATTTACAGAGACTGTCCAACACCTTGTCAGTGGATGCCCTTCCTTGGCACAAACAGCATATCCTAAAAGACATGATGGCATGGCTCGTTGCTTTTACTACTGTCTCCGGCATGCCTGTGGCTTTGACTCCGAGGTCCATCCATGATACGACCCTGAACATGTCCAGGGCGTGGAAAATGGAAAATGATGCTTTTAAACGTATGTGGAATAGGCCCAGATACAGCCTTAGAAGAATTCCTGCCAACAAACCTGATCTTGTCCCTTTTGATAAGGCCAATGAATTTATTTATATCTTTGAATTTTCTGTCCCTTTTGACAGCAATGTGATTGGCAAGATTCAGGAAAAGCATGATAAATATGTGGACCTCGCCTTTGAAATGTCTCACTTGCATCCCAAGTACACTGTCGTCAGGCGCCCCATTGTTCTCGGTGCCCTTGGTTTGGTACCTCCTGATCTCTTGGCGCAGATCAGGAGAGTGCCCGTGTTCTCCACCGGGACAACAGCCCTTCTGACACTCTGGGTAATGCAGAAGGCTGCACTGTTGGGGAGTCTACATATTCTCCGGAAGGTTCGTGGTGGGTTCGACTAGACAGCGTTTCCTGGGAGAAGTCCCATTCGCTGTCTGTGGTGCGTGTAGAAAGGGCAAGGGCCCTGAGCTGATGATGAGCCTTACCAGCCTGACTGTGCCAGGATCACCTGAACCCTCTCTGCTGCATACTATCTTTAATCTGTATAACATAATAATAATGCTAATTTGTGCGCCTTGAATCCAACACGATTCTGCTTTCTGGCGTTACATTATTACCCTGACGGAATAGTACTTTCAAAGCCGCTATTAAGCGCTTCGCGCGACCGTATAGGTCTGTACATCATTTTTAAGGAAACACTTGATATTTTTGCGTGAAATGGATGAATATACCCTTTATCCCTCAAGGTTAGTAATACAAAATTTAAATGATATTAAGATTAAAAAAAATGTTTTTGTCTTACATCCTCGAAAACCCCTGACACCGAGATAACTTGGCACATGGGAACCTTTTCAAATACTCGATTTTATATGATTTCAAACCAGATCATGCAGCCCATTACCATGTGTAGCATTCAGCTCAATAAGATAACCTTTCTGACAACAATTACATTATGCGTAACTGTCAATAATGCGAAGCCATATTTCAGCTGCCTAAACATCAGTATAGGTCACTGTGAACAGGTACATGTTTATGTACACAGAACAACCAAAACTTTGGATAGCAACAGTCAAGAAAAGTCTTTGGTCTTTCAAAACTACATTTAAATGCTTTTGATAAATGCCAGAGGCCAATGGATATGTTTTGATGATGATTCTCACCCATTTGCTTGCAATCCTGCGCTGAGATTCCACGTCGCAAGTATACAGACAAAAAAGTATTGTACAGACATCATACTTCCTTTGAGTCGATGTTCACTGAAGGATAACAAGAACGTATTACTGCATTCCTACCCTCATATGACAGAAACAGTAAAATACACTGTCGCACACCGAAAGGCAGCTGCTTATTGAACTGTAGTTAAGCGCAGTTAAAAAACTGAGACGATCATTAATTTTGTTGATTTGATGAGAAATCAACTTATTAGTGTCATCTACTGTTAATGAAAGTGTGACCCAATGCATTCTGAGATAAATACAAAACATATCTTAGCTAGTGTTGCTTCAGAACAAGATTGGAGTCTACTCATAGCCATTAACCTTCATGAAAAGTTCAACTTCAACTTCGTTCGGAGGGGGGGGGGGGGGGGGGGGGTAGCCGAATGGTTAAAGCGTTGGCTCGTCATGCCGAAGACCCGGGTTCGAATCCCCACATGGGCACAATGTGTGAAGCCCATTTCTGGTGTCCCCCGCCGTGATGTTGCTGGAATATGCTAAAAGCGGCGTAAAACCAAAACTCAGTCAGTCGTTCGTCTGGAATATAAATTACTTGTGAAATGTCATTTTAAATGCTTGAGACAAACTAACTGACAACAACCTACAACTACTTGAATAACATGAGAAGCCTTCATTAGAATTAGTTTCACACGAGATGATGACTTCACAGCCATGAATGCCTTTAGGGAGAATTTAAGGGTACAAAAATGTGTTATAATCGCAAACAGCGAAAGGTATAAGATTATGTTATTAGAATACTTAATGTTATATCGCATTACCAACTACATATGCAACTTCTGTTCACAAAATGTTACATTTGTTAAAACAAAGCCGAGTTAAGATGTATCAAGAAATACGGGTGGAGTCAGCACTATTTTTAATAGATTCAATATTGAAATATTGGTATTGTGCTTTCCGAGGAGAAAAGACGCTGGACACCTGACAGGAAGGCCATTACTTTCAGTGAAATAATTTGTGTATGTGCAAGTACCATCTATGAAAGGAACTTGTTAGATTTTCCGCGCCAACTTTCTTAAAAATCCAGTGTCTCAGTATTGCTAAGATCATAATGTCACTTAAAGGTTATTATATCCAGAAAGGTTACAATATATAATTTGTCATGATAGGAAATAATATATTGATACAGCTTCTAAATTGTGGATTTATCTTCATATTTATAGGAAAATATATATGAATGCATATACAAAGTGCACTTACGTTTTCGACTGCAGATTGCGTCCTATTTATATTCATCCAAATTTCATCTGGGACTAGAAGAAATATCGAATCTGTCTTCTGTGCCCAATGTATGGCAGCGTTGTATTCACAGGAACTATAACCTTGCTTTAAGCAGGTCTAATGTCTATGGGGCTACTTGTGCAAGTGTGCTGTACCAGGAAGTGTTGGAAACTGCATGACACGCAGTAACATGAGTATGCCGATTCAATTGTACGTGTTCAACGACCGTGTCAACTACACGCATGTTCAACGCAGTAAATAATCTTACAATCTAAATTTGACAACGAATATTTTGTTACGAAGATGAAGAAACTTGACAGCCCGTGTGAGTTATTTAATACCAGGGGAACCACTATTCCAGGCCAGCTTCGTTACATCCGTGTTTTCAGGGATCGGGTATCAATTCAGCCGCTCACCCGTTACAAAAGATTTCATAAAATTGCCAAAAGCTTTGTGCTAAGCGGAGTGTATTTCTCAGGGTCTTTGATTCTAAAAAAAACAATCAGTACATTCAAGCATCTATCATATAAACACGAGAATCTTATTTAACTGAACCAAAATGAATTTCACGGGTTTTTGGAGAGCCAGTTCTTACACAGGCGCTGGTTACTGGCGACGAATTAGGTAGCTATGTGCAAAATATAAATTGTCTAGAGGTGTGTGTATGGATTATTTTTCAATAGTCACCGAATTGCACTTTCGGATTTCACCTCAATATTAAACACGAAAAAGTGTTGATCTTCATATTCTACCTTACAACTACGGAAGCGTAGTAGGGCCATGGTGAATTTTTTGGGGGCTCTTACTATCTCCTACGTAGTACTTAATATCTCCTACGTAGGACTTAGTATCTCCTACGTAGGACTTAGTATCTCCTACGTAGGACTTACTATCTCCTACGTAGGACTTAGTATATCCTACGTAGGACATAGTATCTCCTACGTAGGACTTAGTACCTCCTACGTAGGACTTAGTATCTCCTACGTAGGACTTAGTATCTCCTACGTAGTACTTAGTATCTCCTATGTAGGACTTAATATATACCCTACGTAGGACTTAGCATCTCCTACGTAGGACTTAATATCTCCTACGTAGGACTTGGTATCTCCTACGTAGGACATAGTATCTCCTACGTAGTACTTACTATTTCCTGTAGGAGATGATCGATATATGTTTATAAAGATTAATCTGAAACGGTCGACTTAAATCCCCAAACACGCACACAATCTCCTGTTTCACTGTCTCAGTCACTGTGAGAGTCTACAGCCATTCGTTTCATTCACTTTTAGAGTCTACAGTTATGTGTTTCATTTACTGTTAGTTCACTGTTATATGTTGCACTTTGTTAGACTTTACTATTATGCGTTGGATATTTCAGAGGTCGTTGCACATGAATCATAATCTGCGTGTACAGACGTGTCTTAGACTATCGGTGGCAATCTATGTGTACGTATCCCCTTATATTTATACAAATAAATATAATGACAATTCATTGCCTTTTTGAATTTCGTATTGTTTTACGCCGCACCCAACACTTGTCCACCCCAGTCAAGTCAACCTGTAAACAATTACCAAAAAAGCCGCAAACGAGCGTTGCATCCGATCCAACCTAGCCCCATCAAGACAAACAACAACTTGCGGAGGTCGAGTTATAACCCGAGTTTCATATCACAACCTCACCCCAACCATCCCACCCACCTGTGTGTGTGTGTGTGTGTGTGTGTGTGTGTGTGTGTGTGTGTGTGTGTGTGAATAGATGTGTGTGAGATAGATTATGATAGATTAAACCATAACCCAAACCTCCATAACTGCAATTAGAACAGAATCCACGTCACCCTAACGTAATACACACACAATAACACTGTATAGTAACACTGCGTTAGTGTCATGAATATTCACTGACTCAACTACCTAACGTCCTGCATAGCTAGCATTTCTCAACTTAATAACCATCCTTAAAAATGGATATGTTAAGTACTACGTAGGAGATAGTATGTCCTACGTAGGAGATAGTATGCCCTACGTGGGAGATATTAAGTCCTACGTAGGAGATCGTATGTCCTACGTAGGAGATACTAAGTCCTACGTAGGAGATATTAAGTACTACGTAGGAGATAGTATGTCCTACGTACGTGATACTAAGTCCTGCGTAGGAGATACTAAGTCCTACGTAGGTGATACTAAGTCCTACGTAGGAGATATTAAGTTCTACGTAGGAGATAGTGACCCCCAAAATCTTTTTCACCGTGGCCCTACTACGCTTCCGTAGGGAAGAATGAGCTATTTTCATTATTTTCCATTTCACGTTTACCTTTTCAGAAAAAAGATTCAAATCAAAATCAAAATTGCAAATACCTGTATCGTACTTTCAACTTTGTAAGGAACGTTTCTAAAGTCTCAACTTTAGAGTTTAATTAGAATTAGTTGGAAAACTATCGATGAATATTGTTAAGCAATGCAATGTGCATTTCACAATTCAGCACTACACCCTTCCTCGTAAAGGAGAAAGAAGTTATTGTCATGGCTTCCTGTTTGTCTTTCAATGGATTGATGCACTGGGTCGGGTCAAGCCGGGTCGTTTTGCAACTATTAGCAATTGTGCGATGTCACCGGGGAGTCTTCGAGAATTCGTCTAATATCGTGAACAAGGAAGTTTACAGAAATGTCTTAAGGGATACATTACATGCTTGGCTGTTTTCATGAACATGCCAAGATCAGTATGTAACAGGGTCACTGTAACCGCTGTCGTTATTTCAAGAGAACGGTTTGAATAAAAAACATAAGTGCATATTTCAAATATTTTTAAAATAGGATGAAGTACCCCTGCCCATCTTGATGTATAGGTGCCTACATGAAGTGAACTGTTACATGTCCATATCGACGTCACTCAACGGTACACAGTCAGTGCTCCTTAACAACGCACATTAAGGGGGAAGGTAAAACAACCTGATTCGAGATTTCACTGAGATTGCATACAGTGGAGTTGCATAATATGTTCTTGAATCTCATTATGTGCATGATTTGCTGATTATTTGAAGACTCTGAAGGTCCGGGAAGTGTATTGAAGAAGCATTCGTCTTTTTCCTGGGGCGGAACGTGCACTCTTTTGGCATATCGTAACGATTAATTATTAGTCATCGTTTGACACTGAATCTATATAAAAACCTCCTTTCTTAGTCTTGTCAAAAACTATTTCAAATAGATAATTAGAATGCTCGCGTGAGAAATGCAGGAGCATGGAGAGATTTTCATGCACGCTGATATTCCAAGGTATAGTTTGACATGTGTACAAGGACGACAAATGTTTTAAAATCTACTTTATGGACACATTGTGTTAATAGTTTTGAAACATACTACTACTAATAATAATATTACCAGTAGTAGTGACTACTATAGTTGTAAAATGAAGTATGGAAAGTATTTCGGTGGCAAAAAGGGAGAATATTTCTGTGGGACTTTAATTGCCCGATTTCTCTGGTATATTATCTGTCTCCTGTGTAAGTATACATGGTTGAGCGATCATGCATTTACAGTCTCAAACTTAAATTGACAGTATGTAAATAGCATCCGATGATCAAACAGAAGTATTACACTGTTCTGTTTTTGCATTAAACAGCCATTTGTAATCAGAATTGAAACGTCAAATTAGCAACGAACACGCAAAAACACTTGTGCACAAACACAAGCACATTTAAAACATGTTCATGCCTTCAACAAGACGACAGTTTTGGATGTAATTTCTTTCGAATTCCGTATCACTTAATTACAGCATGCAAGATGAACAAACAGATTTCATCTTATTTTATTTCAGGGTCAATGAGTCAGATGAAGGACTTCTACCAAGATTATAATTTGCACTTCTCAGATCAATAGAATTCTTTTTAATTATGAATTAAGTTAAAATGGTCAAGATTCTATACATCATGAGGGAAGAAAGTGACCAATATTTAACTTGTGAGCAAACACCTGCTCAATATCCATGTGTGTATCATGCCTCGTCATATAACCATACACTCACGACACTTCGTAACCTCAACAAACATATATTATATGTTTAAACAAGAAATTCAGTCGAACTGTCTTTTTGGTAGAACAATGTTCCAGTCAAATTTCATGTGTGTGTATTTAACATATTGATTGTAGCTCGATATGACTTTCACGAACCGTAGCAAGTGAAAACATCCCCTGTGACGCGACTGCCGTGTTGGGATGTTATGAATGCCGTTTTGTACGCTCGGCGACCGTTCTCGCGCGCTCTTGTAGCTGATACGCGAGTTTTGTTTCCATTTCAAACGATTAGTCTTCCATTACAGATATATTGTTTCGGTTTTAGAGGATATTCTTGCAGTTTTGGAAGTTTATTTTCCTGTTTTGGTGATTTGTGTTCTGTATTGGTGTATATGAGTTCAGTTTTGATGATTTGTTTACCGTTTGTATGGTAGGCCTGAATAGGCATACTGCTTGTGTATCTCCCAATGGCGATTTCATGGATTCAGTCAGTTCAAATGTTAGTACGGTATTAAATGAACTATTTCAAAGTTTGTATTATCTTTGAATTAACAAGATAGTTTTTGTGTTACATCCTGTAAAGTTTTAACGACAAAAACCAAAACACATCTAATAAACACTTTACTGTTTGGTCTGGGCTTATTGGTCGGATCCACTATTGCGCAGCAATTCCATGTAGAGAGGTGCAGCCTTTCTAAACGCCAGAAACCTTTCGTTGTGGGATGGAATCTCGGTTCTCTCAGATTATGTTTCAAGGTTTGATGTTTGACGTCTAAGACCTGCCTCGCTTTGGATTATACCATCATGACACGCCGTGATATATACTGTTGGAAGCGGCGTTAAACCCATCTCACTCACTCACGGGCCCATTTACTATAGGGTGATTGATAAAATAATCGCTGAACCAGCAGTGTACTATGCATTGTATTCATCCGCTTGTGATGGAGTGAGTGAGTGAGTTAAAATATAACGTCACCTCGGCAATATTTCAGCCATATAGTGACGAGAAAAGCTTTACATACACATTAAATTCAAGTACATGTAGTCATCGAAGAACTGTAAAATATCTAGAGTATCACAGATGGTGTATAAAACTAGTTGGCAAATGTAAACATATTTTATTTATGAAGACAATGCAATATAAAACTGGGCTATAG